TAACTGCTTAATGATATCCCAAAGTTGTTAAGTGTTCCAATGCATCTAACACTGACCATTTTCACAGTTGAATTCACGAGTCAATCTAAGCTAGAAACGATTGTAATCCTGGAAGCACCGGACGGCCGTTTCGTTCTAGTATTGGATTTCTCAGAGTGCTCATCCACGATCTCCCTCGCATGATTCGAACCTAGGACCTTCAGCCTCGCATGCGAACGCTTAGACCACTGAACCGACATCCAACTGTGTTAATGTCTAACTTAAATCAATCCATGATCTTTCGTAACCCCTTAAATTGACTCGTGAATTTAACTATGAAAATGCAACAATCTCTACAAGTCCCCATACTTCAAATATTGTTAAAGAATTTTATCTATTTGCTATGGTAAAATATAAAAGTAATTGAATTCTCAATTCTCCTTATTGTTTCTTGAATGACCTCATATCTGGCTTAATTAGGTGATAATAACAAAATATCATTGTCGTTAATTAATTGATTATCAGTTGTCATTCAGTTCTTTTCTGTTTTCTTACTTTTTCAGTTTTATATTTGTCTTATGTCATTTACTGCTATTGGAATGTGTATTTATTTTCTTATGCAATGTTTGGGTTCCGATTGGGAGGGTAAGTTGTAGTAGTAGCAGTAGTGGTAGTATTACTTTACATATCAGTTTATTTTACTGTGTAATATTTTCATTTCTGTATTTATGAATTTTTGGTAAGACGATAATTTATGGATGACCTTTGAGCGACGCTAAAAAGATCTTGACAGTGTCCACCTACATACTACAGTTAGATGAGGTTTATAAACCAGTGTGTAGAATTAGGAATATGATTTATGGTCGATGGTTAGGTTTAGGAATCAGATTTAGGGTTTTCATCACGAACTGACATCAGCTTATATGCCGAAACGCCATTTAGCCAAACAGATGAATGGATTTCGCGCCAAAATCCAAAATCTCTCATTCTAATCTGATTGGTTTGTTCATAAATTATAGTCTTGCCGAATTTTGCTATAAATACTTGCAAAATATACCTCTTGTTATACCTACTTCATCCTATTTAAAAGTATTCTTAAACAAAAATATCAGTATTATAAATTTTAATCAGCGATCTTTAAAATGTCTGAAAGAAAACTATTTAAGAATAATTCATTAACAATTCTTATCAAAATATATTAGTTAAATTTTTATAGGTGAATTATTGAAAGGCATTTGTTATACAATCAGATACTAAGTAAACTACTCACTCAAACTCCTTTATTTGCAATTATATTTACCAGGTGACTTACAAAAATAATAGAACATGTCCTTGGTAATTCTTTTATAATGGCTGAAAAGCACTCAATCAGCTCCCAATGAAAATCTCCTAAGTACTTCTATTTTGTTATCAAGTTTGATATATTCTCAAAACCTTCTATAAAGTCAGAGTCATCCACAAATACTATTATTTTCTGTATAGAATCCACTCTTAAAAATGAAGTTTCTGTAATTATTTCGTACATTTTGAGGAACTGGTAAACAATTAAGAAATCAATATCGAAAATTCGAGTACTAGGTGGATCGAATTTAGTTTAATCAGAACTGAACTAATAATAATAATAATCAGTATGGGGATTTGTGGAGATTGTAACATTTTCTTAGTTGGATTCACGAATCAATCTAATCTATAGCATCATTTAAAACCTGGAAGCACTGGACGGCCGTTTTGTCCTAGTATGGAACTCCTCTGCAATATCGGTTCAGTGGTCTAGAAGTTAAGCGTTCGCGTGCGAGACTGACATGAGGGATCCTGGGTGCACACCACTGACTAATCCCGTACTAGAACGAAACGACCATCCAGTACCTCGAGGTTTTTACTCGTAGTCTAGCTTAGATTGACTTGTCAATTCAACTGTGAAAATAACTGGCAGTAATAATAGTAAAATTTACGTTAAAATAAATTTTACCTATCAAAGCACTGTATTTAAACATTCACATTCAAAATTAAAATCATCTGTTGTTATTTCTGCATTAAATATGACTACAGAACACAAGCGAATATTTATTTTATAACATTTTACAAAATAATCAATTGTATAGGCTACATGTATTACCATGTAATTACCAATAGAGGTAATTCAATTTTTGTTTGATCGAAATCTTGACATTTAGAAGGTACGTTTATAGATTAATGAATTGCTTTTTCCGTTTATTGTTTATTCATTGTCTAAACTATGAAATATTATAAAATTGAGTGGCATTTTCTATCGATCTCATTTAACCTTTTGATAAACTAGTTTGAAAATTGTGTAGAAAAATACCAATGAAACAATCAATGAAGTGATAGATTATTGATTTAAACCTTGTTGATAATTAGAGATAATATTGTCCGAGTCTGTGATGACATGAACGTATCTACCATAGTCCCTAAGTTTTCAGTGATGGCTGATTTGTTGTTTATCATATGTTGACAATGTTTTCATTTAATAATTATTGTTACTGGTAAGTCGATTTATGTGAACATTTGTATTTTTATTATTCAATTTTCTTTCAGTTTGTCAATCAAATCAAAGTGTTAATATACTAGGCAATTTCAGTTCATTAGCGTGCAGTGCATTTGCCCTAGGATTGATATGTGAATCCTTGATGTTCGGTATTTTTACTTTAGTTATGTGCATCAGTCAACTGTGCGCTATTTCAAATGATGAAACAGTAAGTTATACGCACCTGCTCTCTTGTATTAATAATCATAGTTATAATGAAACTCTCTGTTCAATTCCATGTTTTTGTCTCGTTTAAAATTTATACTGATAATTTATATTGAAGTTTAGACTGATAATGTTGTGTAGATAAACAATGTTAGCTTCACAGTTAAACCGTCCTACTCAGAGAATGCGAATCCACCACAAGAAGTTCATTTAATAATTAGATGTTTAAGTCACACTTATTATATAAAGTTGCTTAGAGATACTGACCAACTGTTGTTTGTATAGCCTACCACCCACTACATTAAACATGTAGCTTTAAAGCTATTATGGATATCTTTCAACATCATATATGAATTATAGCTAATCTGCTATTTCTCGTATCAATTAAAGACAGGAGAGCTTAAATTAACGAACATTTATACACTTTTACCCTTTAATATTATATAATGTTATTTTAAATATCTTTCGTGTAACGTTGCTACTTCAAACAATAATTCTGGACGTTCATTAAGTGTGATTTGGGTAGTCTCTGTATACTCTAGGTTGATTTTCGACTTACAATACATCTAATCGTATCGTAGTAACAATCTTTTAATCCTATGTTTGTTATGTGTATCGAACAATATCTTACTCCAAATAGGTGGAATATCCGATTTGTAAAAAGGTCTACACCAGGTTAACTTACCGATTCCGCATTTTCATGTAGATATAATAATATCAGGTCATGTGTCTTGTGGTGCTTTATTATCCTCACTTTCTTTCGATTCTCTCCTTTTTATGTAGATCGACATAAAATGTTCATAGTGTATGCAATATTTTGACAGGAATTGCAGAAGCTTAGCACTAAAATACCGTCTAAATACTCCATCTAACATTCCGACTGTATTCACTGTTTATAAAAATGCCATTTAATCCAATATTATTATTTGCTTGTATGAAAATGAACAATTGCTAGCGATATACAGACGCATCAATCTCGCTTTCATGATATTTATGTGAATATTACACAAAAATTCCTACTACAGAACTTAAGCTTATTTTTGTACTCATAATCTTTCAAACTGCATTGATATCCATCAATCAGTTTTAAATGATCTCTTGAAACCCAGCATTTATATAATACTTCAATCAATGCTTTCATTGTATCTTGTAAGTACAAACAATCTTCATCTACACTTTTAATGAAGTGACAACTAACCTTCAATCTAGATTCATCTGTTATTAATTTGAAATTGTCGGTACAAACTATTCACTTTGGTTAGTTTTAATCAAGAAAAATGTGTTTGACAAATAAAATTCTAGAAACGTATTGGCAAAAAAAGATGTCAATTATGAACATATTTGATCAGTTAATGAAAACTAACCATGAACTGCGTAATAACTCACTTGTTATTAGGTACAATTCACTAGTACAGATTATAAATGTTATATCCTATAACCCATCAATTACCACGTAATAAGATCGCCCGTCAGAACACCGAATTATACGACTTTGGTACTGTACCAAATCAATGACGCGTTAACTAGTACAAGTAGCCTAGAGTCAACTATGAGTCCTTATCAGTTCTTCTTGCCTTACCTTGCTCATTTGAGTCCAAAACACAATTCCACCTTCTACTGTATGAATCATGTATTTCATACATCATATCATAAAATAGAAAATAACAATAATACAAGATCAAGCCAAAAGTGGCTGTGATTGTGAGAAACTGTAACTAATAGATCGGGAATAAGTTAAGAATGGTAAATCGTATTACAATCTAGTTTTGGGATTATAGCTGATATTAGTTCGTGATTAAAACCCTTACTTTAATTCCTAACCTTAAATTCTAACTCTCAATCCCAATCCTAATTCCCCATATTAATTAATAACTATCTTTTTACCCTGGTTACTTGCCTCAAGATCTCTCGAATATCGTTTCACCTGTATTTTGCTTATAACTAACATAATATGTTTAATGCACCTTTCTAATTATTCCTCTTTTCTTCAACATTTTTTTTTTTAAAAACAGGGTATTGAAAATATTAAAAAAGAACAGGCATCATGGGAGAAACAATCAACCAGAAAAAATTTTATCAAAGCTTTTGGTGCACCATTTTCATGGCGATGGTTTAGTCCATTCTCATCACCTTCATTTGTTCCGACAATATTACCAGGACTTCCAGATGATGTCAATTTAACCAATATGATATATTTAGCTGAACAAAATGCAACTCGACAAAATACAAATGAATTTCAGTCAGATTTTAATCAAATTGGATATATTGTTTGAAAGATAATTATTTCTTCCTTCTTTCTTTTTCCTGTTTTCTATAATCTTATCACAGTTCATTGTGCGAAAAAAACGATTAGTTCAGTTTTAATCTTTGTATAATATAATACTTGCAGAATTATCTCTATGCTAGATTCATATGATCATAATGTCTCCCTTGCGTGTATATCTTAAAATTATTGACTTCTTCTTAGTGTTATTTGCTTGTTTATAGGGTTATGTAAATACAATTATTGATCTTGATTGAATGATATCATCAAGGCCTATCTCATGCTTAAGACAGAATATAGTTAAAGGTGATCACAACAATACAGATTTTGTCAGATCATATTTTTAAAATTTATAGCATAACAAAACGAAATGATAGTTTATTTGAATAAGATAAATAATTAAGCAGTACTGACGTAGATATAGATATAAAAATTATATGAACAGTTATCTTCTACTCTTAAAGGCCACGCTTCGCAGCCATAAAGTAAAACAGAAGCCTAAGCGTTCAGACATAATCTTTAGTGACATGTTTCAAAATCGGTTACAAATACATTTATTCTGCAACCTTTTTCTATATCATTAGTTTCATTATTATTTCAGATATGTTGCTCTCTTGAAACAATATTTTTTACACAAATCAGTTGATTAATGGCCACTATATGTTTGTTAAAAAACCTGTAGACCAGTGTGATGCAGTTTCAAAAACTGTCGTTACATTCGAATTTCAGTAATTCCATCTATGTGTGAGAACATGATGAAGGATGAATTTCAGTTTCAAAAACCTTGATTAGATTGAATGCATAATACATTATAGACGATAGTAGGTAGTTAATAGTCACAATTGCACTACGCAATATGGTTTACTCATTATTTCAATATTTAGTTTCATATTAATATATGCTAATCTAAAGTTCCCTACATTTTGTAATGCTGTGAATAATCATATATAAATTATTTCAAATGAAATGATATTCAGAGAATGAAATAAAAGTGCCCCCCAACAGATGAAACATTCCTTCTATTGTTATCTTAAAGAATAAATGCTACCAAGCAAGAATGAATATATATATATACATATATGTATATGTATAAAGGGAAATCAAATTAAATAAACATTACATCGTAAGTATGTCTGTAAGAGATGAGGGCGATGGGGATATGATCAAGACTTTCTGGCAGAAAGTAATGCTAATTGGTAATTAAATCAGGAACTGAGATAAAAAGGAACGATAAATACTACAAATATAAAGTTTTAGAGCTAATCACTGTATACAGTGGTGATAGTAGTAGTAGTAGTATTTATCGTCCTTGTGTACAGTGATTAATTTGTGAATCTTGCGGAATCTGAGCTTAAACACTACTACAGTAAATCATCGAGCCAATGTAGTAATTAGCTCAGTACACATTTCAAAAAATTCCATTGTTTGATGTCGTTTAGTTCTTCGGTTAATCGGTACTTCTTGACAATTTGCTGAAAACGATCGAGAAAATTCAGTTGTATTTGGACCATCGTAGCAGTTGGTTGGACTAGCAGATCCAGTGCTGCCGGAAAAACTACCATCTCTACTACATGTTGAAGTACCCATAGCAGCTGGTGGAGCTAAAAACAAAAGTAAATACAGAAATTATCTGACTGTCAATCTGACTAAAACGTTTTTAAAAAACAGGACATAAGTAGAATATACTGCCTATATACATATATATATATATTTATAGCCTCTGCCAGGGAAGTCCTACTCACTACCTTCTCGCGACACCGGTGTTGTTTACGAAAATGAGAGGATGAAAAGCGAACGTCCGGTGCTTTAACCGGATCTCAAACCAATGGTGCACATGGGCTCCAGTATCCTGAACGAACAAACGGCGTATGAACCAATCGTTGGTCACCGGCTACCATGGGACTGAATCTCCTCACGATGCTCCACTGCCTTGTGGATCAGACCTTCAGGTCGAAGTGTGGCCCCCTAAGAAAACCACCTGCTTCGGTTTGGGAACCCGGGCAGTTTCACAGCCCTCACACAAATCAATTGAGATTCGTGTGGCACATATGTATTTGGTGCCTCCTTGTACCAATATCTAATTACTTAATATTATTAATTTTGTTTGTATCAGTTCCCCTTAACTTAAGTTTCTCAAGAATGTTCGTCTTATTACCAATTTTACTATTTTCTTATCTTCTCAATGTGTTAACGCAAAGCACAGCGACTTGTGCGAACTAATAATTGTCTTTGAAACTACATGTTGTAGACTTTTTAATCCGTAATAACATTACAATGTCTTTATTATTATTATGACTATTATTATTTAATACCACCGATAAATAAAAACATTAAATAAAAATATGGTCGAAACTTACTTCCACTGCAAGAATCAAGGCATACTGACATATTGTTTGAACGTAGTCTACTCATTGCTGTTTCGGATTCTAATTGACTTTCATCGATACACTTAAAATCGAGGAGATATGATCTTGCATCGACCTGTGAACGTAAAATATCACCATTAAAGCTCATCAGAATAAACAATTTGAAATAAAAAAACAAGTATGGACACTGGAAAATTTACTTGTACTAAAATCTTCCATTTCAAATACGATGTATGATGTTTAGTACTTGGAGTTGAAACACCATATCTAGAATCGAGACGTATATTCGATTTAATTATCTATATTCCAAGTGATTGTTATATTCCTATGTCCAATAAGCCAAACCATATGATATGTTTAATAAAAAGTTACCTATTTATATCAGTAGAAATCGCCGCTTCTACAAAAAAACTACAATGTTGTTTGTCATAAAAAGTAGGGTGGGAGAAAGCCAAATATGGTATTAGTTCAAAGTATTAAATTAAGGAAGCGACTAATATCGTTATGTAAGTTTGGCCTTCTTTATTAGATCTAACGATGAAATCATAATTTATAGTTGGAAGTCATATATGAGGTAGTTTGAAATCAATGAAAGAGGTTCAGTAACATTCATTTTTCATCTTTTCAGTGATGATATTCCAAAATCTTCAAATATCGACTTCAGTAGCCTGGGTATGTTTTCATATTGTGCATTACTTCCTGATTCTATGACTAAGTGGATGAAGTTGAGACGTGGTCAGATTGTAACATGGTCCTGTGGTATGAAAAATAGTTGTATAGGACTGGTATGTGTGGATACCATGATTCCCTTTATTGAAATTCTAGAGATCAGGAAGCTCAATAGCTTGAGAAATTGTCAGAATGGAAATCATTGGCAATCATGACGTAATTTTCTATTAAATTCTTACTAAAAGTGAGATCCATTTCATTGACTCAATGAAAAGCACACTTTTGATGTTCTGTTACACTAAGTGTTTTGTAAGATAAAGAAAAACTTTAAACCCTGAGCGTACATCCATTAATTTAGGTTATTTAAACCATTTCAACCCTCTTGTTTAAAAGCAATAAGCATTTTCCTCGATATTACATAGGAAATACAGACCATATTTTCATATATTGTCTTTAGTGTGCCAGTAGACCCGACTAAACAAGCACTTGACATCACCGTTGACAAAGTGCCTGGTTGGTTCAGATTACCTTGTCAGTATCCATGAGATAATTGTGACGAATACTCGGAGAACATTGGTAATATGATTCGAAATCAGTTACAATGAAGCAAATATATTTATTCATCATTCTCACCTAGACCATGAATTTCAATATTAGGATATTTTACTCCCTTATTTTATTATTTTTAAACCATATTCTCTATACTTGACATATTTTTTAAACTATGATTGATATTATAAGAATGGGGATAAAGACAGATATCTATTTCAGACAATCGACGAAGAGTTGCGCAATATCATGGATCGATTGAAGTTGAGATTAACAGCGTTGGACGCCGGCTCAGTGGTCTAGAGGTTAATTGTTCGTGCGCGAGACCAAAGGCCCTGGATTTGAGTCCCGCATGCAGGATCATAAATGCGCACTGCTAAGAAGTTCCACACTAGGACGAAACAGCCGTCCAGTGCTTTGGGGTTTTCGATGGTGGTCTAGCTTAAAATTGACTCATGAATTCAATTATTAATATTAATGATACTATGAACTTTTTGTCTATTTATCTTATAGTGCTAATATCCTATGGTCAGCTTGAGCCAGTGTTACACATTTGTGCCGGATTCGTGATTAACTGTTTATGTAAATTCAAAAAAAAAACAGATTATTAACATTAATTATCATTTTGAATAAACAAATCACAAGACTTTTTTGAACAACAAAAATTATATACCATATGTACTGATAAGCATACATATTCATGATTTAACATGTTATGTAAAAGTGTTAAAAAACCATAATAACCAACTAACCTGATAAAGTTGTAACACAAGTCGAGAATAATGCTGTAGTATTGGATTCCATTTTCTTACACGTACATTAAACGGATTAACAACTTTCCATTCATAACCAAGTGAATTCATTGCTTTAAATACTTCATGCATAATATCCCATGGTCTAGATTGAGAACGTATACCTAAATGCCATTTAAAACGTTTCATTCCACTGGCTGCTGCAGCTCCGGATGTAATAGCTGATTGTGCTTGAGAAGAAATTTGACTTGGACAATTCAAATCACCTGTAACAATTGATCCAGGTGTCTATAATTAAACAAAATAAAGAGATTAAAAATAATGAATTGTAGTACACTAAATATTGATTCGGAAGCTAGAAATCTGAACAATGTTTAATTTCAAATGAAACAGACAAGTTACAATATGTAAACAATCGAAATAAAAAGTATTTAAAAGTTTAGAAACGATAGGCAGAAATATATGGAGTACGTAACAACGATAGTGAAGAAAGCTACAAAAGAAGGAAGTATGAGGAAACTACATGACAGAACGAAGAAGCAAGCAGGAAAATAAAGTAAACCAGAACTATTAGTCAAGAATAAAGAAGGCAAACCAATCACTGATATTCAAGAACACTGGGACAAGTGGGCAGATAACTTGAAAGAGCTCTTGAATAGACCAGCCTCAACACAGGACACCGAAACAGCACCTACGGACCTGCCTATAGCTATCACCTACCAACAATCGAGGGAATCAGCAAGGCCATCAAACAAATCAAGAGTGAGAAAGCAGCAGGACCAGACAATATACTAGGTGAAACATTAAAGCCAGACATAGAAGAAACACCAAACACGCTCCACATTCTATGCAAAAGGATATGGAAGTAAGAACAAGTGCGGATAGACTGGGAAGAAGGAAGGTATCTCACTGCTATCTGTACCAGGAAAAGTTTTCAAGTGCTGTTGAATCGGATGAACGATTTAATAGACGCACAACGCCGAGGATCGGTCGTGTGCAGACTAAATATCAACAAAACCAATAATTGTTGAACAATCAATTGAATGAAACTTGTCACCATACATCAATTTCCCTGACTATAAAAAAGTGTTTAAGAGAGTGGATAAGAAAGCCTTATGGAACCTTCTTCGACACTGGTGCGCTTGAGATCGTCAGCATCATACGGAATGCACCAACCAAATCACACTAGATGGGGAAGCTCTGGAAGAGGTGGAAACTTTCGCATACCTTAGCAATATCGTTGATTAACAAAGGGGACTTGATGCAACCGTTAAGATATGGATTGGCAAAGCAAGGGTTGCATTCCACAAATGAATAATATCTTAGACTCAAAACAACTGACAACTAATACCAAAGTCAGAATCTTTACTACGAACGTCAATATAGTTCTGTTGTATGGAACTGAAACTTGGAGAAAAACCACAACCATCATCAAAAAAGCATTGGACAGCTGTCCTGTTTTAGTCAGCTGAACGAAATTAGACCTAGAATCTCCAAATTTCGGGGCAAAAGATATTCTATTCAACCACTGAGTTAAGCAGTTACAGACTGGTCATTTCATAAGACTTGAAGTTCTCTGTTCAGCTTTAACAACTATCAATTAACATACTACGGTTGAGAAACTAAGATAAGGATGGCTCTGAGTAATAGGACTTCAATCAGTTATTTGCCAAAAAATCGAGGACATTTTCACTTTTGATACCTGATTCCTTCACACATACATTTTCATTCTGTTTTTGAACCCTATTCTTAATGTTCAGTCACTCTCACTGTTCTTGCTACTACAATCGTTTCGACTTTTGATATTCATCCTGTTGTTTTGATATGGTGCAGCGGCTCGGATTAATATATATTTGCGCAGAGCTATACGTTGATTATGACTGACTAAATATGAATGCTAAATTTCACACAACGCAATATGTAAATGAGTGCGGAATACAACTTCAGATAATAGTAATGTAACGACAGAGATATCATCAACGCAAAGTAAATTGAAACAATCTACTAAACATACTGCTTTATTGCTTATTCCTTTGATAAGGAAACAGGCATTAAAAATCCAGCTGGTAGTGAGATTATATCAAAAAAATGGGGGGAAATGGACTATTTACTTTCAGTTTTAGAGACTGAATTGATGGGCACTTCAAATAACCTTCAGTCACATTTAAATCACCCACCATCTCCAATTAGCCTGAATGGTAAGTTGAAATAAGTCCTTCAGCTCTTAGTGAGGTTGAAAAGGCGATCTAAGAGCGAAGGAGAGTATCAGGTTCAGATGGATTAACCCCGATAGTCTTTAATGAGTAGTCTATTTTTAGCTTTTATATTGACCGAAATCTTGGCTATAATCTGGGAATCGGACATAATCCCATCTGACTGGTCTGGATCGCAAAAAAAACAAGTCTATATAAAAGGATGAAATTCTCTTGTGACATTCACGGAGGGATTAGTTTGACAAATAGAATATTTAAACTACTAGCTTCAATAATACTCCGACGATTAATTATGGTTCGTGAGGAGCAAACTAGGGAAAGCCAAGATGGTTTCAGACCTAGACGTGGATGCACCGACCAAGTGTTTGCTGTTTGGCGGGTTTAGAATCATATGCATGCTTTTCGACGTCCAGTTATGGTTGTATTCACTGACCTTAAAGTGTCATTAAATCTGTTGATCGTGAGGTTCTGTGACACTGTCCGCCATTTAAAGACGTACCAAAAAGTTTATTACCCTTTTACAGGCTCTCTAACTCAATACTACTGGTCGAATCAGAGTTAATGGTGAACTGTCATAGGAATCGATAAGTCGTGCATATCAGGGTAGTCCGCCTTCCCTATTTTTATTTAACTTAGTCATAGGTATCTTTTTAGAGATAACGCGCCTACGAACTGACCTTATTGAATATCAAACCTCTCCTCACTGAACTTACACATCATTGGAAGAAAAGTATACATAATCTTGCTTTACGATAAATGCACTAGATACAACTTCGAAAAATGCATTACATATAAGGAATGAGTAACACCTGTATAACTAAAAACAAATTGGCTAATAAAAGTTATTTAGTTGCAAAAATAACGTCAACCTTACAACTATGAGTAAAACTATAAGTTGTGGATGACCTTTAAGCGATAAAGTGGGGTGGATAAACTTACAGGGATCAAAATACGGTTATAAATTAGAATTAGACGATAGAGTTAGAGGTTGGATTTAATAAGGTAGAATTAATGTATTCATCACACTAACATAAGCTATAATCCCGAAATGCTATTTAGCTATATGAATGATTGAGCTTCGTATAAAAAACAACTGCTATCTTAAATCTGATTGGTTCATCCATAAGTTATAGTCCTATTTTATTGAACACGTAGAAAAAACAGACACTGAATAAGAATTTATTACCGATGAATCCCCCATTGGATCTAATGTTCTCGATAACGGTGGTCCATCAGGCATTCTTTCTGGATGAGGTCGTGTTGGAGAGATACCTCTACCTTTTAATCCAATCATGCCAGTATTATTACCATAATTCGGACTTAATGATTGACTTCGACCACCACCAGGCTGAGAATGAGTCAACGTACCACCACTAGGTGGACTATTTGATGTATTTGTTGTTGCTGCTACTGATGAGGTTGATGAATCAATCCCAGTAGCAACATAAAAATTATTCACTTCTTCTGGATTCAAAACTGATCCGAAACGTCTTTGAAATTATAAAAAAGTAGATGAAAAGATTAGCACGGAAATATGGAACGAAATAAATTTTGCTATTAGCTTCATATTCATTTTGTCCACTGAACTTAATAGACTAATTACGGCAATATATGTATAGAAAGATCCAGTTCGCCGGCTATATTTGTAAACTTATTTAATCAGGTAATAGTTTGTGTACTTGCGTTTGAGCCACACTTAGTTATGAGGGTTGATTATATTATCCACTTGCCCAAACCCAAATAGATCGAGCGGGATCGGAACATGTGACTTAGTGGCTGACAATTGAAAGCAATAACCAACGGGCTACCACCTTACTGAGATAGGAACAATGAGAACAGTTCTATTTGTCCTATACCTACTTCAGTGGATGATTCACCTAACTAATGCGCTGAAAAGTACATCTCCAAGACCCTGTTATGTGTTTATATAGATCCGTAAGTAAATCTCACAAATTATACAGTTGACTAGTCAGAAGTAAATAATTTCAAAATCAAAGCTTCTTCAATGTATTTAATCACAAAAAGTAGTTAAGAACGATCAAAGTGTAGCCTTTTTTAATTTCCCAATACAACCCATATCATTGTGCGTATATTGTAGTGTTTGTGATATTAAAATTCTGCTCTTCTTAAGTTATAACTAGACATGTTAATATCCAGCTGTTTATAAACAATAGCAAGATACATTAATTATTTTGCGGTCAATATATCATTTGATTGACTGGTGCTAACTTATGACTTTATAATTCCATGAAATACTTCAAACTATTAACATCAGTTTCATACAAGCTAAATTTACACATTAACATGCTTCAAAATATTCTTTAGTGGTAACGCAAGATCTTTTCAGTAGTTTAGGTTTTCCAGAAGTAAACACTATGTTAACAAGCTTTCATATGTTTTCTGCGTTCAGTGGTGTCAAGAAAGAGAGTACTTGATACATATACTCGTTTATCTGATGAACAGAAAAATTTTCCGAAGTTGAATAATTCAATAAAAACACAATATGAAATTTAAAAACTCTCAAATTACATCTACAACTGGAAAGTAATAACAAGTGGAACTTACTTATTGTCTATGATAAGATGATAAGCAACTGATAGTTGATCACTAGGATCATTGTTTAGTAAGGCAGCGAAAACTTCGCGTTCTGTTGCATTGCACGCTTGACAAACTTCATAAACTGCTTCCTAAGTGAATCAAAGAAAGTTATGAAAACAATGGTTTTAATAATTACTGATGACAAGTATATAAATGATTAATGCAACCATTGATCACAGAATAAAACTTCGGTATCATTTAGTAGTTGGATCCAACGTACTAAAAATAAGTCATATAAAGTTTACTGCCGTTTTTCTGTTTGAAAACTATTCAGCGGTACTTTATTGATAAACTACTGTACTGATTGGTCATGTAGTAAGTCAAATCCTACACACTGAGTTTGTAATATGATCAGAAAACTAAGTACCTTTTAGTACTAATGTATTTCATTTGATGCTTCGAAAGCTGTGACGAAGTGTCCGAGTGTGGGATAGCACCACACCATCTCCAACCATTGAGAGAGGATTAATTCCCTCAATCTTTCAAAAATATCCTGCTAAGCCCCAGGCATAATGACTGTCTTCAACCGCTTAACTATGATAATCAACTGCTTAAATAAAGTAACTGACTCTTTCTACCCAGGTCATTATATTTTTGCTTGTCGCTGACCTGGTTTAACAGCGTCATTAGAACAGTGGGAAACTTGTGTTCCTAAAGCGAAATGCTGATTGACAATAATACGGTTAATAGTAACAAGCTGCCAGGTACTTGAGTAAGAGCCACAGTTTAAGTGTGGGGGGTTAGTAATACAAGCCGGTTGTTCAAACTGAAGTAGCTAGGTAGGGGTTTAAAATATTCTGAGTAGACGATATTGTACACCTTAAACACTAACCCTCCCCGTCATCAGCTTCACAATCTGACATGTTATCGCAGAGCTATTCAGACCGCAGCTGGCCTTCTGTACGTCTGGAATGCATTAAAAATTGATCACTGAATAGTAGCCAATTTCAAGTTTATCTAATTACCTCATAATGTTGGTCGAATTTTATCCGTCAATTAGCAGTGTGACCGCTAGTTCAAGCGACCCGACATTCTTTCATTGTCTTCCTATAGAAAGTGAACACAAACGAGTGGAAAGACAGCACTTTAAATATGAAGTCATACCCTGTATATTATTTAACTAATACGTCGGTCACAGCACTTTAACTGTCGTATGTTTATAGCTTTCCTGGGTAGGCTCTGAGTAACGATGACTTCAGAAGAAACGGTTGCTAGAACTTAATAACGAATGTCACGAAACTAATACGATGTTTACAGTTGAGAGGGACAGGACCATAAAACATAGAGTAAACGTCAAATCTTGGTTTCAGGCAAGAAACATTAGAATATTTCAATGAGAAATAATTATAAACACTTATAAAGAATAGTAACGACAACTATTAATAAAGTGATTTATATTAATCTTAAAAATTACAATTAAAAACAAAATAACCATCTCTGACGTGCTTTAGTTTCAATACATAATACAAAAATTACAGAAGACATGATTTATAAAAACATTACCTTGTCAATTATTGACGCATCTTCGTCGCGTTCTTGAGGGAAAAGATGACTAGGAAGATCAACTGAGAACCACGGATGTCGTCTGATTTCTTCTATGGTTGCACGCTTAATCGGGTCCACAGTTATCATTCTTCGAAGAAGATCCCTCACCTAAACAAAGAAGTGATTATATATATATATATATATATATATATATATATATATATACTACCGCTTCACTATGAAATGCATAACTAATTCACCAATGACGTATAGTTGCAGACTTTGGATACTCAATAGTTGAGTTAAACTACAACATAGTTGTGTTTGTGGTGTAAAACCTACAGCTAAAATATGTTAGCAAAAACTAAGACGAAATAAACTGGTGTGGATAAATTCTGTCAAACTATTCTAACTAACCAAGCTCTTTTATCACTAGCACATGAATATTTTTAAGAAATCACCTATGATAGGAACGGGAAAACAAATAGAAACAATGGTGGTCAATGCTCTAAAGGGATAGTAAGATATGAACCGAAATACAAAACTCCGAAAAAGCAAAATCGAGATGAAATAAGTCATGAAGGCTTGAATGCAATGTCAAGAGTAGTAGCTAAAGAAAAATACAGAATTCTATAAAATACGAGTAACCACTTCTAGGACCTTAAATAATGAAACAACCACTCACTAACGGTCAGAGACTTCGCAAAGTGCTTCATTACATAATTTCTAACACTACACTTCTAAGCAATATACTACCTCAGCGTAATCATATATATATATATATATATATATATATATATATATATATATATATAACTTTCCATACCATACCACTGCAGCTGGGAAACATTAGATGGCATATTTGGTTAAAACTCTGCCTTTAACCCTAACATGACTAAAAAGATCCCTCTTAAAGAATAAAAGATGCTGTAATTTCTGTTGTCTTATTGATATTCATAAAGAACAACTCCCCAAATGCCCTGGTACGACCGAGGGTGGGGAGTGTTAGCTCTCCCTCCCCAAATGATTTCACATGGCCAAGCGTATACAGCCACTCTGTCGGAGAAGTCCTACTCACTGCCTTCCCGTGGCGGGGGTGTCGTTTACGAAATTGAGAGGACGAAAGTTTAACTGGGTTGGTGGATATAGACGGTCCACCTAGAGGAGTTAGAAAGCCCTGATTCCAAATCAATGGTGCACATGGGCTCCAGGATCCTGAGGGAGCAAATGGAGTATGAACCAATTGTTGGTCATCGGCTACCGTGGGACTGCATCTCCTGACGTTACTCCATCGCCTTGTGGATCAGGTTTTTAGGTCGGAGGCTCCGGGCGTGGCCCCTAAGAAAACCACCCGGGCAGTATCAAAGCCCACACAAACCAAGTGACTTGTGTTGTGCATATGTATTCGGTGCCCCTTCGTACTAATATTTGTATTCAAATAAATAAATGAAAAAGGGAGGTGATTGTATGATGTATGATGGGATCTACTACTGTTTAACATGTCTTGCCCAAAACAACTTAATAGACATTAACAAACTGCTGTCCACCATTTTGTTATTTTGATATGTAGCTGAATATCTTGCTAACGCTAAAAAAGATATCATCATTTGTCAGGCGTTAGATGGTTGGAGGTGGTAATAATCGAGTTAAAACAGTGCATGCGACTTCGAGTCACCACAGCTTCAACCAACAGAGTTCGATCAGCATCAAGGACCAGATAAACATGATATTAATACACAATGGCCAATTAGAGTAGATGCCGTCAGGTTAGTCTAGTAAGCCTGATACAACTTATAAAATAAGTACTATGGTTAACATTAGTTTGACAGGAGAGCAATCAGTAATACAATGTACCTAACGTTTCCTTCGAAGACACGGAACGCAATAAAAGATCTCAGGTAAAGTTAACACGATCCAAACCTACCAGGCAAGACAAAAAGCATAAGGATTTTTAAGTGAAGAATAAGGATGATAATTTCCCAATACAAAAAACATACACTTACACCTGAACTCAAAGTTTCTGGCAAATGAAAATAGCCTGCTTTGATTTTTTTAAAAAGTGTAGGTATATGTTCATCATCAAAGGGAAGTGTGCCGCATAGTAATGCATACAAAATTACTCCACAGGACCATACATCTACTTCCGGACCAGCATATAACTTTCCAGATATTACTTCAGGGGCAGCATAGTTTGGGGATCCACAAGAAGTACGTAGAAACTCACCATCTTGCATTATGTTGGACAATCCTGGAAAAAGGCGAATTTTTTACACATCATTATGTTAGAATAGTACTGAACTTTGAAATTACTGAAGTTCCCCATACCGCTAGAACAAATTTCCAAAATACCGACAGTTGCGATATGACATTACTGTACAAAGCTTAGTTAAGCAGTGTCAACTAACAGTACTAAAACAATATTCCAGCTTCTTAAAAAAGTATTTCTTAAACACATAAGTATTGTTGCGAATGGAAACCAAAGCAAACATGCATCACACAACCAGGGCCTATAATACAGCAATAAATACTATAAAAATAACCATCCACAAGCAATGTATAACCTGACAGTACTAAGACATTTGACTTAAACTGTCGAGTCGTGATTTCATTTGAGGGACTGTAATCTATTTAGGCAGCGTTTTTTTTATATCAATATAAATCCTCGTGATCATGTTGGATTAATGAACTTAACTGATTACACTAAAAAGATACTGTGAACATACGTGCAAATTTCGAAAAACCTTTGGTTTAGTATACACGACTAAAATCAATTCACATACCAGATTTAAGATGGTAACGAATACACCAGCACCCAAATGCCCCGGTACGGCCGAAAGTGGGGAAAGTCCGCTGTCCCTCTCCAAATGACAAAGCGAATACAGCCTCTGCCAGGGAAGTCCTACTCACTACCTTCTCACACCACGAGTGTTGTTTACAAAAATGAGAGGATGAAAAGCGAACGTCCGGTGCTTTAACCGGATCTCAAACCAATGGTGCACATGGGCTCCAGTATCCTGAACGAACAAACGGCGTATGAACCAATCGTTGGTCACCGGCTACCATGGGACTGAATCTCCTTACGATGCTCCACTGCCTTGTGGATCAGACCTTCAGGTCGAAGGCTCGGGGCGTGGCCCCCTAAGAAAACCACCTGCTTCGGTTTGGGCACCCAGGCAGTATCACAGCCCTCAGGCATATCAAATGAGATGTGTGGCGCATATGTATTTGGTGCCTCCTTGTGTCAATATTTGTGTTGAAATAATAATAATAATAATAATAAAGACTTTGTGGCAATACCAGGTAAAACCACAATAAGCAAAATTCATAAAAGACAATTAGTTTAAAAAGGAAAGACAAACACCATTACACTTCACACTAACAAAAACCTACTGAACTAGTAAATGTCGCGACACAACTATGCAGCATTACAGGTAGAGTTAATCACAATCAAGCAAGAAATCGACGTTTAAAAGGTTATTATAGATGAATAATCAGGTAAGTTTTTGAGCATCGACCATTAAGGCAAACCTGAGAGGTTACCAGAATAAGAACCCCAAGATCAATAACTGAAAGCATGACGCTTAAATCACCAAACAAGGACTTAAAGTTTAACTATCCCAATATCATGGTAAAAATTCCCGGTGTACAACCAGTAGAATGTTAATGTCACCAAGGCATTTCACTACTCGCAAACAAGCCCAGTGAAAAAACAATGACACTCGTCGAGTTATTACGATTACTTATGCTGTACGGAAAATGAAATTAAGGTCCACTAACCGAAGTCAGCAATCTTTACATTCTGGTTTGAGTCAAGCAACAAATTTTCCGGCTTCAAATCTCTGTGTACAACCTTATGACGATGACAGTAGGCGACTCCGGAAATTATTTGCTGAAAAAACTTTCTAGCGTCCTTCTCAGAGAGTCTTCCAGACTTCACAATGTAATCGAATAATTCCCCTCCACTGACATACTCCATTATCATAAATATGTCAGTCGGAGTACTGATGACCTGATACAACTTGATGATATGAGGATGTCGGAAAAGCCAAAGATTGAGGATTTCGCGACGCAGCTTGCCGGCGACATCGAGAGCTTTGATTTTATCCCTGTTCACTATCTTTACAGCAACTTGCACCCCGGTAGATTTGTGAATTCCAACTTTGACTTTTCCGAAAGTTCCGACACCAAGTGTTTCTCCGATTATGTAGTTCCCAATACGAACCTCTGGGCTACATTTTGGGGTACCGCGTCTTCCATCCGCCATAGTTTGAAAATTGCTCCAACTATTGAGCTTTTTAGTTCCAATGTCGAACACGAGATGAAAAAACGAAAACTGGTTTATTTCATCGCTCCTACACCACTTTTTGTAACAGACATATAATGCTTACATTTCACCAGGTAATTACGATCTGAACCTTTGGCTAAGAATGATTTATTATTGCAATTTAGTAGTTTATGGTTCCTATTATTTTAGCACTGTGGCGGTAAATAAATCCCCTAGAATAATATTTCATTGGGTCTTTGGCATTTGATATTTACCTCTTTTGATTTAATGGACACACCTAACTGAAGGCGCTTGATCACGCATCCTCGTCATGAGTCGGTCCACCGTGCTGTTCACCTTCTAGAACCGTTAGCTAGCTTAGATAAAACGCATCCCGAAATATTGATAGCCCTTCAAGTATACACTCGAACGTTTTTATTTCTTACCTCCGATCAAACTGGGTTAGCATACTTCGATAATGAAGGTATCACGTGTAAAAATGTTATCAAACTCCGAATACATGTGACATCTCTGGTATGGTTATATCCTAGAACGGAAGATTTTTTACCTTGCTGCTTGAAATCATAAGCCATCGGCAGCAGTCAAAATCCATACCCATAAACACTTTAGTTTGCTATGCTGAGACACTAAGAAGTCCCATAGAATTTAGTATATTTCTCGAAAGGAGTCGGTGGAAACCGTTCAGGCAATCTCAAACGATAGAGAATTCCAACAACTGATTACTTTCAAAGGGCAGAAAGGCACTCCACAATTTAACTTGTTCCACTTATTCTACAAACTACAAGTGCTCACTTCATATATCAGAATTCAAATTCGGAAGGTATTTTTAAGAGTAAGCTCAGCCAGTAAAACGTCACTAGGAGCTTAGCCAAACCATCCTTCAAGCAATTAACTAAGTGCCGAACAATTTGATGATCCTTATCATAGTCAGCGAAAACCAAGAAGGAACATTCATTTATGGACTATGGACAGGCTCGATAGGCAGTGGCTACACTGTCCCATATACTTATTTTTTCGATGTAACGTTATGTTTATGTCATATGGTCATCAAAGTAACTATAGAACCAGGGTACGCCAAAAAGGCAGAACATGTCAGTTAGCAACCGCAACGCGTAACTTTGACGTAGGTGGGAAGTCACATCATTTGGTGCAACTGGAATTAGTTCTCAACCATCGACTCAGTTCTTCAAAGTATGTTGATGACCCATAAAGAAATTGAAGTGTTTGTTCAATTTAAATTTGTTTCTGAGTCTCTTGTGCCAACATATCTACAGAGAACATATATAGATAGCTTAGACGGCTGAAATAGAGGCCCCGGTGATTATTGCCCACCTACATCAAAAATAACACTAAATGAACTGGAGAATGCTTCAAAATGCTGAACATTGCTCTTTTAATTGAATACTGAAGAAAAACAGTCATCTTAACATGTAAGCTATAATACCTGAAATTCGAATCAGGAAGGGAATAATGCATATGCTTAAATAACGTACAAATATCACGTCTCAGTTTTTTTGCAACATTTCTCTTTCTACGCAGAAACTGTCTGTCACATATGAGGACCACATACAACACGCATGACCAACCAATGGAATTTCTGATTCACTAAACAAGAATCGCATGATAATAGTTTAACTCCAATGATCGTAACTGTTGCTAATATGGAGACTCAGAACGCCGAACTGACTAGAGTTAGTTTAGGAATAAACATTTTAGGCGAGACTCTAATTTAGGGACGACCTTTGAACGAATTTTGAGTGACCTTGAGAATAATAGCCAATCAAAAGACACCTAGTATAACGTAGAAATATATTAGAAGATACTAATGGATTACAGTGAATATACTTCTTTTACATGATTTAAAAACTTATCAATGTTTGCTAAAGTTTCAGATGTTTTGAAATCATATTGCATACGGTATAAAAGTCATAAATTCCAAGTACCTGTCGAGTATATTTACGGAAATGCTACTTACACAATCCTACTTTATACTACGTCCCCTGTTGTATTTTCGCTTTCTCACTGCCGTTTTATCTGTCTGCACGATACATCCTACTCCTCCGAATGATTGGTGTACAAGTGTTATTTTAGTTGCACGGCAGTACTCATACCACTGGACTGCTGAAGTTTCAGTAACAACTGCAAACGCCGCAGCCAGTGTTACTGGTGTATTTATTACCCAATTTGCAACTATTATCATAATCTGATTCAGTTTCAGTAGCAATCGAGCAAAGAAAGTCCCCGTTCTAGCAGACTTTCTCCTCCAACATGAAAGACAACGAAATATAATCTCACCACGTTTATTTGCACACTTTACTGCAGTCATTTGATAACCGCAGTCTCACGTACAAGAACTTTTTAGTAATCCTATCCCTTGTAGCCTCTCAATAATCGCCCCTTCTCTAAAATCCGCTGTAAACCGATCATATGTGAGCATCAGGTGTTAAACTTGGCTCTGTGACCTTTAAACGGCTCAAACGCTTTTGATTGGCTCGTCTCTAAATTAGAGTTTCGCCACATTTTAAAACTTCTTCGAAAAATGCTCAACATTCAAGTGGCGTTGCAATAATAAAGTATTATCAGGCCTCAGTGTGTTACGAGCGATGTTGGATATGTTGCCTAATGAATGACAATAGTTAACCTGGAAAAAAAAACCTGTCTTGTTAAAATAAATCAGGTCTTCCAATACATAGATAGTCATTATAAAGTTAGATATTTATTCTAACTCCCAGGGCAGGGTTTAAATGGTCTGAATTTTTTTCTGGTCGACGTTTTCTAGCGAGTTATTCTTCTACGACATGTGGTCGCTAACACCATGCCCAACCCTCCTCCTTTATCCGGGCTCAGAACAAGCAGTAACATCAAAGGGGCTCCAGGCGGAGACAGATATGAGAAGAATGAACAACAATTGGGTAGAACTAGAAAGGAGGGCCTAGGACAGAGTAGTGTGGAGAATGGTGGTCGGTGGCCTAAGATCCAATGTGAGTAACAGGCGTAAGTAAGTAAGTGAGTTATAATGTATTGGACAAAATGTTCTTCCTTTCTCAGTGTGCTACGACGTAACAAAACAGAAAGAGATGAACGGACTTATAATACCTCTATATTGAAAAATCGGTTGATCCGCATTATACTGACTAAATCACGTTTCATTAAAACCCGAATCACGAGTAGTATTGGATAACCAGAATAAATATACAATACATCACTCCACACAATTACAAGCGCTCATTCTCACTGAGTCATACGCTCAATCATCAATTGGAAGTTGAGTGCCTGTTTGTCCACACTCAGTGACAAATCATATTTTCATTACCAAACATCGCTTACGTAGAAGCATAGTAATTCAAAACGTTCAGACAACTTGCTAGTGTGACAATCTCAGTAATGAATTATTTGCCGATGCTCAGCTTCAGTTTAATATTTCTGTAAACCTCTAAAACCCCATTGTTATACTCTTTTTGTTTTAACAGCTTTCGATTGGACAAAAATGGTGGTCATAAATTCTATTTGCTCTGGATTCGACTATAAATGATCCACTCATATCAGTCGGTATTAACATTAAGTAAGCTTTAAGGTGATGATCAATGAAGGCTTCGTGAATGTGAATTTCGGTGTGATAAAAATAACGATCGTATTTTCACAATCATTCTCCCGTCATGTCTACATAAAACACGTTTACAAATTATTTACATGTTGGTAGATCTAGTGCTATTTCGATTTGGGGCTTACTGATCGATGTGTTGTAGTGCCAGTAAAATGTCGCTGAGACCTAGCCAGTTAATCCGGCAGTTGAGTCACTGAATATCGAACAGATTATCGATCCTCATCAAAGTCAAAGGCAACTAACGCGCATCAATAAATCGTATGTCATGGACTGGCCAGTGCGATGGTGATATTGTAATGAAGAAGAAAACCGATGGGGCAATCGAATGTATTTAGGCACATAATTACTGAGCATCTCAATAAAATCTGAGAACCATATATTAAATCGTTGATTTGCAAAATATCAATCCATCATATCAAACTTCACTGATCCTGTTGTAAACATCAATCCATTGTCCCCGATTTCATTGTTCATGCATTTTCCTACCAAATGCGTTTCGTTTCCGTTCTTTCCTCATCGACCTCCTACTGAAATACATTCTATGCCTGACCACCGTCATATACTACTTGTGTGGACATAAGTAACCCACACCACAATATCATTAACTAATCCACAAAAATATACCTAGTTGATCTACTTTCAAGTCACTCATTAAGACGTCATGATAAAAGATAGTCAGTCATAAATTTTTGTTACACAGATGGTTATGGACCGAATCGCAAGTCAAATATTCCACTTTTATTTGTGTCGTATTCGGATAACTGGTTTTCATCCTATATGCCTTGATGTATGCGAACGAACACAAACTACTCTTTTAATCTCTGCTTAGGTCTTTTCAGCTTACCTTACATCCAAAGGAGCAGGTAAAAACAACCCATTTACAACGTTCGCCTGGCGTTTCTGTGCTCGACATTGACTCATACAATGTAAGAGTTAACCACAAACATTACTAAATAACAAAGAAGCCACATGTTTCCTCTGATCCATGATACTATGGAAAATTTTAAATTTTCGGGATACCTACGATTACAATTTCACTGTTAACTGATTTAGATGCCGATAAACGTAACAGACTTGCGAAACCAAAAGCTTTGACTATTGAGCAACGGATATTTACGAATGATGTACGTATCTTCTGTATTATTACTTCGTGGTATTACAGCCAATTAAAAGAACTCTTAGCAGTACTAATGTTCGGCTCGTCAAAAAGCTCGTGAAATCAGTAATTCAGGAAGAGCGTCAACATACTAATTAAGTCCCAATACATCTTAAACCTTGTAGATCCAGAATAGGATTTACCGGAGAGAACTCTAGACTGTCGGCGACGAACGGTCTTTATGCGATAATCATACCGGTCAACAGAACACAAACATTCGAGATGTGACGATCTAAAACCCACTGGAGTTGAAAACTATTTATTTACGGTTAACCAGAAGTTGGTTAACTTCAAAGCATATTGTCCGAGCTTACACGAACGATCTGTTTATGATATAAATATCTTCGAGCCTTGTATATATAGGTATGCAGTCCAAGCTGAATAACTGTTTTTGTGTTCCCCGGAGTGTTCTGGTACACAGCCTGACTCAATGCCCTTAACTAGTGGTATTCAGTAAAAGTAACGTGGCCAGGATAAGCGCCAAAGACTTACAAAACTGTCTCCTGCTATAGAATGAACAAACTTGGAGAGTTAAAAGTGTGGTTAGTCTTATTGTATTTGAGATGAAAAGTCTAATTCCACATCAGAAGTCTTCAGTGTGTGACTGATAAACCTTCATTGAAAGCAAAGAATAAGATTATCTCCTAACTTATGTAACGCAAAACAGTTCCTTAATGTAACGTTTATTATGCGTGATAACCTGCCGTACGATTTGCAACGATATCGCATACGTAGAGGACGATTGAGAAACAGGTTGATAGTTGTACTGAGAACCTTTATCGAGATCATCTTAAATTTGAACTTGCGTTGTCAACAGAACTTATGGTTCACCTTATCCTGTCAAGATACTCTGCCACATTAATGAAACGGAGTACCTAGTTCATGAAGAGGGCCTCGTAGCGTCAATGAGTAAAGACATCTTAAATTATTCATAAAACTTTCGTCAACATAGAATACACAAGTATTATGGTCCTATCATGGGTAATAAACAAAGTGAATAAGACCCACATATACTTCAATGTCCTGGGTCTTACTCACCAGAACCCTAGCCACGGTCAAGTAATAATAAAGCCATGAACCATGAGGGCACCTCGATCAAGCTATTAAGTACACTACGACAGCTACAGACGATCTACAAACATAGTCCATCTGAGGAAACTCCAAAGTGATAAACCTCAAAAATGATGAAAACCTATGCCTATCACCATCACTGAATTCATACTGGATTGCTAGGATACAAGTAACCCAAAAGGACATGTGTTATCAGTTTATCTATACAGGAAGGAGTACAAAGAGGTTTGTCGACCTGACTGAATACTAAACACCTAGATAGCAAGCATTATAGTTAATCAATGCTTTTACTGACATGTATTAAATTTGGTAACACTACGTCTTCTGTGAACAAATGTTAGTTAGAGCCGAAAACAGAGACGGAACCAGTAATATACTCCCCATTTGTTTAGTAAGCTATAAATGGCAAGTGAACCTTTAAATGTTAATGTAATACACATGTGAATCACTTGGATTATATGGAGGAGTGAAAATCAATGACGACACCTTAATGTGAAGTTCTCATATGATCATAAAATTAGTAGAAACACAATAGTTTCTATGTGTTATCATTCCTACGGATATTAACTCAGAATATGGTAAGACACTGTACTGAAATCTCCAATAACAATCACCAACGTGATTAGTAGTTCCTTTCTAAGTTACGCCATCGGATTTCGTACCGCATAAATCTGACTCGGAGCGTAATACGACAACGCTTTACTAAGAGTATTTCTTCAACTAAATAACCTAGAAGGAAACCGACGATGGAATCAGAACATCTTTAACCGTCTATACTCCATAAAAACAATAAAAATGTATAATGAGTCAAATTTTAAAGATGAGTTTCACAAAATACAAAATAAAGATACTATAATGTCATTCATCGGGTAATAATAAACCGTTTGATTCCCATAACATATGGCGACAAACTTCAGTACAAATGACTTATTAAAATCAAAAGAAATATACATGATTTGTAAAAATTTAATCAGTGAACTACAAAGGATTATTTAAATGCATAGAAAAAGAGTAATATCCAAAAGTCTTGTAAAAATTGAAGCACTTGCTAGCCACTTTTAATTATCACCAGATTCACACTGAAGAAATAAATTTTTCCGCAATGAACACAGCTCTTTGACCCACTTTTGACCCAAACTTGTGCTAAATGTTCCTTTAAAAATTAATCACATTTGAAGGAAAAAGAAAATCCCAATAGTGAAAATATTATTTACCTAGAGTACTTTCGAAAAATGATTCTAATTTTCCTGGTTCAAGTGTTTCGTGTTCATATTCATAAGCCTGCAAGAGCATCTCAAATCTATTAAAAAAGATATTTTAAGGCAATAAAATAACGTACTTATCAAAATCTTTACAAATAATAGCCTCTGGTGTTTTCTGATCAGTATATTCCTATAGATAGTATGAATTATCATGTGTAATCATTATAATAAGGAAGTTACATTCCATAAACTCATAATTTCTGTGCTGTTCTCTTCTGAAATAAGTTCACATAATTGTTTCATAGCGTCCTGCAAAAAAAAACCCAAGGAATGGGGGATAGTTAAGAGAGAACAATGTACCTAAGTTTAGTTTTAGTTGACACTCATCAGAGACCTCAAAAAAATGCTCCTTGTGAAACTAGTATCTACGTCCTTTAGTTTCAGTCTGAAATGTTATCGTTGAACTATTGAGGCCTCGACTAACATCCCGTAAGACAGATATTTATAACTGCCCAGTGACGAATGTTACATTTCTTTAGTTCTGGTCAAATTCTATCAATCAATCTGTACTGTGAGCACTAGTCTAAGTGACTTGACATTGAGCACAGTATGTTGAGATGTTAGGTAATTAAAGACGATGGGCAGGAAAACCTAGTTATTCTAAAAAGTTGTCGAGTGGTAAATAGTAGGAAATCTAGGTAAAAAGCTCCTTTCTAAATGCGTTTGATCGCTTAACACAAGACTTGATTAGTATGCATAACATAAATATAACAGATGTCATCTAGTTAAGGTTATTTGGATATTTATATTGGTCCAGTTAACATCTTGGAAGCAGGTTTCTAAATAGCTAGTAAACATTGTTAAAATTGTAAGCATAGGGTCGTAGGGACTATTGGATGTCATTGAAATAATGAACCGATAAATGTTAGAACACCATTGAAAACCTGGAAACAAAGGAGGACTATTTCTCAGTAGTATGGGACCACTCAGTAGTGAGCATCTAAGAGTCCCCACGAGGGAATCGAACCCAAGATCTTTGATCTGACGCGGGAACGCGAGATAAAAATAATTATAATCGAGAATCTTTCCTAGTTATTAGGCTCATCCTGATTTCACGTTTGCGACAAAAACTTTATAACGAGATATACAAAAAACTATAATAATTAGGATATAAATGTACAAAAAAAATGGCAAATTAAATCCAATGAACAAGTCAAAGCGATTCACTGGAGAATCAGTAATGGAAAAGAAGCAGAATATGATATTATTAAATCCATTTTTTGATTCCAATGTAATTTATTATATGTTCAGTTTTTCTAGTGATATAAAAATACATCAGTAATTGCCTCTCGACAAAAAATTATCTATACATCAACACCATAAAATGAGATTTATATAAATAGTATTTAGGAAAGATTACATTTTAAAAACTATTGTATGGAGGATTATTTATATGTTTCATTGTGTGATCATTAAGTATTTGGAGTTTTGAATTACGAATGAATAGAGTACAACAGATCACTAATCTACTTCCGACTGGAAGTAACTCGTGGATCAGTAAAGGCCAAAATTCTCCAGTCATTAATCACGGTATTGGGATATTCAGAAAAATATCCCAAAAATCATCCTGTTAAGTCTAATGCTATCCTTGGACTTGAAATGGTATCATTTTCCTATTGGTCAATGTTTATTTCACGTGTCGTTTCCCTACTGGTCAATATTTATTTCACGTGTCATTTTCCTGTTGGTCAAATCTTGTACAAATGTTATTTTCTATTTTATGATACGATGTGGTCTGTTTGATTGGTATATAAACAGAGTATGTTTGAAATATAATGATTCATATGGTAGAGGCTGAGACTTGTGTTCTGGACTCAACTGGTCGGGCTAGACAGGGAAGCAGAACCAAACAGAGCTCTAGGCTGTTCTTATGTGTTTTACGCGTCTTTGGTCCAATCGATAATTCGCTGTCCTCTAATCTGCGGCGCAACATATAACACACGGTTACTGAGTTATTGGTTGAGAGGTCACTAGTCCTACAGGGAACATGGGTTGAATACGTTCAATAAACGAACTAGGTAATATAACTCTTCCATAAACAATTGACTTGATCACACTGGCCCCAACGCAGTTCATGGATTTTTCCTTTTTGAGATTAAGAAGAAAACAACTATTGTTTAATTATTATTTATATTTATTTATTTTAACACATAGGTATTGTTACAAGGAGGCACCAAATTACTCTATGAATAAAACCGGGGAACACATGAAATAAGCTCTCTCCACTTCACATGGAGCACATGTCAGTATTCCATTAGTGAGCAAAACCATAAACAAGTATTCTTGTTGAAATACACAATTATCTTTTAAAACAATAAAACAACGCTTGAAATGGAGTGAAGAGACTTCCCAGGCTAAATATATTTTCCTTTCGTTATAATGGAAACTGTTACTGAGACAAGATTATGAAACATTTTATAGCATCTGGTTAAGTAAATGAATTAACATCTTAAAAGCACAATATTTCCAATGTTCTTATTAAGACTAATTTATTTGCATCTAAATCCTGTTACTTCAATTATCAAAATAATAGGCTAGAAGTTCTTAGTTATTGGTTACTTTGATGGATCGATACTGATCTCTAAATAAACACATACTAATGATTGTTACAACATGATAAACTAGTTCAATAATTAAACCAGTAAGAAATATTTACTAACTTTTTCTCTGGACAGTTTTTCTTCTTTCGATACTCCACAATGTGGTGTAATATCTCCCACGATACATTCGGCTAAATCATGTACAATTGCCATTTTTATTAATCTAAAAAATGGAGACATGTTTAGATGTAACAAAGAAGATCAAACATTTAAAACAATACTGTTTTGTTTATATTCCATAAGGAAAAAAACTACCAAAATATGGTAAATAGGAATAAATTAAATACAAATAAATGGCATTAATATGACAACGTAATAAACAACAAACAAGGATAGAATAAATGTCCAAATGAAAATTTAACAGACTTTGTACATTGAATGTGATTTCTATAATTAAAATGAGCTGACATGGGTGAATTAAAGCCAACAATCAACAAAATCAAACCTGAAATTTCAACTGAATAAATTTAAAGAACATTTTGTAATGAACTTGAGCTACATTAAATTTCTTACTTTGAAAGAAATTTATATCAGTTTGAAAAACTGATCACTAGTAACAACGTCTGAAAAGATTTTGTGAAGTTCTAGTTTGAAGAAGTCATCAGTGAAGTTCAATCGTATCATGAGTGATACATATATAGTACAGATGATGTGATATGATGATCACACAATATTGAAACTTGAACAAAATTAGAAATCAAAAGTACTGATTTATGACTTGGTGCTTTAGAGGTATGATTATCACTATTAGATTCTAAGGTTCCGAATTCGACTATTCGTTGAAATGTGGATGCACATTATTGATGAATCCCAGAATAGACACACTTAGATACTTTGTGTTTGCTTTAGGTTTTCAATATTTAAACAACTGAATTTAATCATTGAATGTAAGTTATCCCCTAAGTGAACATTTTTCACGAAAATTTCCACCTTAATACAGTATTCTCTCTATGGGAGATTGGATTGATAGTAAATAAACAAACACCATATTCAGTACCTTAAATAATTTATACTTATTCAGTTTGTAAAATACACAGGGACTAATATTGTGACCTAAAGTTAATTTGGTGATTTGATGATATTAGTAGTATTAATAACACTGATTTTGTCCTTCTTGATATTTTACAAGCAAACACAAATACGTATTCAAAGAAATTAGTCCCTTTTATAAGTTTTCATGTATTAATGAGAAGACGGAGTTGACCAGTAATCTCTAATGTATTTGCACTGTACATTTCGAACTGTCTGATTAAACATAAACTTGTTGACACATTTTCTATGAACATTAATAAGCGTCATTAAATGAAAGTTCCAAGGAATGCAAAATGATAATTATTAATAAAGGAGACAAAACAGATAAATATATGAATTTGTAATACCCATGCTAATAGGAACATTTGACACCAACGCGTAATGAAGCTATCTAGGCGTATGTTTCTGCTAAGTTTTAAGATAACACGAGTTCACTTAATCTGCGAACGAGAACAAAGACCAGTAAGCTAGCTATTTGATGCGTCCCAGCCCCGCTAACTAGAGGAAGAAGTCCAAGCTTGGAATGGGGAAGTATATTCTGCAAACAGCCAGAAATGAGCGACAATAAACACAATTCAAAACGTATATATGCAGTACAAAACCGTCCTTGGGGACAGTTACTAAATAACATACTAAAAGACGCGACGGACCAATAGCAGTTAAGATACTTCCCAGTGGGAAAAACGACATGAAGGTGACAAGAGCGCTTTTGGCGCGAAAACAAAGAAATTCAAATTTTGTGAATAAAATTACGAAATTAGGTCTTTTCCCAAGTGAGTTCTGAGGATCTAACGTCCCCAACAGTTTTATAACCCTTGACTGCACTGTCCGGTTACTCCTTGCTATGCATGTCAGTCAGTCAGTTACAACGTAGAACCAGGCACAAACATGCATCGGTTCGAGTTGCCACACATCATTAGCACAGCAGGATGGACACCGGATTCATAGAAGCAGTTAATTCAATGGTGGTAATATATAAAAGAAAGATTGCATATAAGGATATAGTACAGGAATAAAGAATTAGTTCGTAGAAAGAAAGATGTGAAGCGATTTTAATCTCTTAGTTTAAGGGAAGACAGAGTGTATACACCGACGCCATTGTGATCGATTCTGAACCATGTCACGCTGAGTCTCCAACCATTGGTTATGATAGTCACGCAAACCCTAACCAAGTAGTCTGCATCTACCAACATGGCTTAGACTAGAAGTTAGTGACTTCAAGGACTGATGCCACGTTTTGGTTTGGCCGCCTCTAACTTTCTTCCAACCATCCCCAACACCGGTTAGCATTGCGCGCCGTGGTAATCAGTGCTCGGGCATACGCAACACGTGGCCCAACCGTCTCAGTTAACACAAACATATAAATTGATAAATGCAATTGGTTGTGGCGTAATTATTTGTGTAATGCTTAGGCCTATGTGGAATCATGAGCTTAGTTTTTTCAATCACAATCAGTTTAGCAGTGTAGTATAGAAATTGTTTAAGATAAATTCCTAGATTTATATAAGCTATGGTCATTCACAAATTTAAACAGTTCGCCGTAAACTTTAATTTGTCCTGGTAATCTTTAAGCCATTTTATGGCTTAGGGTAGTGAGACAATTTCCTACGTTTCCCAAATTATATCTGGTTTCTCTTCTTTATTAATGTTCATAGAAAATGTGTCAACAAGTTTACGTTTAATCAGAAAGTTCGGAATGTACAGTGCAAATACATTAGGGTCTTTAAATCAACTCCGTGTTTTCATTGTTCTAGTAAAATATATATTCATGAAGTGAATCCACGATAGAACCATGATCCAACTGACTAAATGTATGAAAGTCATAATAATATTCAGAAATTAAAGTATTGATACATAAAATATTTAATCGAAACGCAATGTAAATAGGAGATATTTCCCGTTGGTGAAAAGTTGAATATTTAGTGAAGAGAATAAAAGTTGCAAAATAACCAACGACTATTTAATCACAGATGTCGTAACAAAGTAGTTATGATAATTTCATTACTCAATGGCTATCGAATCAGGTTAAAAACATTATTAAAAATTACTGGTAAATTTCAGTTTGTTAATCGTTATTCGATCATTTAAAGATGCTGTCGTTTCAACGACATTGATAATTGAGCCCATGAAATCAAACGAATCAAGCGCGGACTCAGTGATAATACCTGTAGCCGAAGTGTGGATCATAAGATATTAGAATAGTTGAACACGTATTTGTCAGGTGTTTCGGGATAGGAAGTGTGAACACAAATACGTTTTCAACCCCTAATCAAATTCACAACCAGGTTTTAGAGTGATTCTTTGCAACTTAATCTGTATATTTTTCAAATTTTCCTCATTAATCAGCTGTTGATTTGTCATACAGACGAGTGTAAAAAATTTGCAAAACAAGCTCCTAAACGAACAAAAAAGCAATGCTTACCGATCTGTGTTTAAATTTCCACGTTCATTTGTTGGGATTACAGTAGCCATCAATGCCATTCGGTACATATGATCAGAAACACTTTCAGGCGAGTTTATGTTGTAACGTGTCCAACCAGCTCGAACAGTTCGCTAAAAATATTTTAAAAAACGCGATATATATATAGACCCAGAAGTTACATTCAGACATGTTGGTAAGTTTGTAGTTAACCATGAGAGATATCGCAACCGAACTCTACACAGTAGTCTGCAAAATGAATAAATGCTATGATAAATCTAATAAACTTGAAAAATAGCCAGCGTATATCTTACAGAAAGTTTGTCCATTAAATATACAAACTACTACATGGTATGCTGAAGGCTTTTTAAGAAGATAACGAGTTGGTGATTTATTTTTCAAGTGAATTAAACCTTTCAATTAGAGATGTAAAAACTGCAAACGTTGAAACATCAGGACAACTATTAATTCCTTGGGTCGAAAAAAACATTTTTGCGGTAAAAATTTCTCACCGGTAAGCTCTTTACTACTATCTTTCATAAAATATTAAGCATCATTTGATACAATATATCAGGCTTATTTAATCTTTTATGGAAACAAACCAAAATAGTTAACTATAGAATGTAACTAAATTGGCCTAAACAATGGCAAACCGTAGCAGTAATTTAATAAGTAACTAAAAATATAAACAATCACACGGGTTTTACGCACGATCCAAGCAATAACTACTTTTAATTTTGTAAATTATGTTCAAGTCTTTATACAACAAAATTGGTTAAATTGAGTTAAAAAATTAAAATAAGATCCCTACTATGTTTCATCATTTGTTCAGGGAACTATACTAAGAGTCCTTTAAATAAATACTCTACCTTCCTTCTAGATAACAAACCTACGTGTCTGTTTTTTCTTTCTATCTTCTGTGTGCTGAAATCACTAGAAAATTGTTTGATTTTTAGAAACAGGACATATTTACGGAATGAACGGCTCAAAACTCTTCACGGTCAAACAAAACAGAAACATTGTCAATCAAAACAACTAACTATGAAAAAATACTTACACAACAAATAATATGATGTACTCTTGTGTGGTTAGTATCTGAAGTGATAAGATGGTGCGAGTGAAAGTGAGAGTCACGAAAAACCCTCATATTGAGTTAAAAAATACATTAGGAAACAATATTTGTATAATGTGAATGACATCAGTTAGCTCACAGCACAATTCCTGATGAAGGCAGGACATACATCCAAACAAAACACACGTCGAATTCTCAATTATTCGTGATCTTATCGACTTTGGAGAGTTATTACAAAGTTTTTATTTGAATTATTCTCATGAATGTTTATTTTAAGTATGCTATACGTGTACTTATAAATCGTAATCCACACAGTCAACGAAGAAAATGAAATATTAAGGCATTTTTAGTAGTAGACATGGAAAGGCGCTTTAATCCGCTACTTTAATACTTACGATATGGAATTATCATATTAAGAAAATAAATACTCCCAAGATTGTCAACACTTTTAGCGTAACATCACTCTTTAGGGATAGGTGTCACATCAAACATATTTTTAGTAAGTCCGCACGATAAACTAGTTTATAAAATGTACCAGACTAACAACCGATCAAGCACTCTTAACTTTTTAGTTGGTTGTTTCCCACTTTTCTTGAAGTCTAAGCAATAATTTTATTTTTCTGAAGTCTAGTTATGTTTGCATTTATCAGAAGTTTGTAAAATCAAGCACGTAGTTGGGTAAGACTTCTCAAAACTAGACATACACATTACTTTTTAAATAGATGTACTAACAATCTAAAAAAATTAGTGGTGAGATGTCATAGACTTTCATATTTTTAAAAGTGGACACTATAATGCGGTTATTCTCCCGAACATTTAATTATCCAACATGTAATAGAAGATACATTGACTACTGATATATGCGAAACCGTTAGGGTAAGGTCGACAATGCATAACTGATCCACATTCGACAGCCGAGTATGTGATGTTTAATCGGGCCAGTAAAAGTAAAAATGGAGACCTCTTCTACAACCTCCTGTGATGGTAGTTAGAAAAATGACTTTCATGGAAATTAAAAGAACGTTTTAGAAGCTATATGATTATATAGCAGTGTGTCAAGCTTCGAATAAGGAGTAAACTAAGTAAATTCTCTCCAAATGATACGAACTGCGACCATGAATCCAAACAGTGCCAAACATGAGATCTAACTTTCATATTGGTACACTATAGTTAAAAGACACTTTGGCTTGTTACGGAATATGATTAGCTCCGTGATATTATCACCAACTTCCGTTATACAATAATAAAACTATAGTTGTGAGAAATGGGAGTTTTGGGGCGTGAACACTAGCAAAACCATTCGAGTTAGTAATGTAGAAATGTTAGCCAAACATATGGATCCAAACTTCCATTCTCAGAAGGCCTAAAAAACAATAACAATACGCGATCCGTTGTCATAATCTCAACTAACTATCATTTGCATTTGGGCTGGTGAAAATGTATTACTAATCCTTCGAATTTGGCTATGTGTTTTTAAAAATTGGAGTTGTGTGGTCTTAGAGACATTTCCTAACTATTTTTAGGGGATGACAACATGCACAAGAACGCAACATAAAAACACTGATTTTGTATATACATGGGACGATATGTCTGAAAGTCAGAAATCTCCGATAGCGAATTTCTTAAAGCTCGTGGATGTACAATGTTAACATTATAAGTCTATAACAGATAGTCAGTCTCATTTAGTCACTCAGAAAATCTAGTAACACATACAGTAAACTGTGATATTAGTACATACAAATCTGCGAACAGCATGAAGAACCAGATCATTGTCTTAATTGTCATCCTCAAAATAAACTAGGATATTGTCTACACAATCTATTAATCTTTTCTCCTAAAATTAATTGCAAAATTATTTGACTATCGCAATGATTTTATAGCTTACTGCTAAGAATTCTATTATACATGAAGTTATGATACTTATTTGCAAAAACAATAGTAGTTGCATACGAATAACAAGCAATAACCGATGAAAAAAGTAGGGAAACGTCGAGAATTAAATTCAAAAAGAAGACAATTCTTTTTGCACAACTCATGGAAAGCAAATAAACACGAAACTCTGGGTTTTGTATCAGTAACATTAAGTTGTAATTAAAAGTAGTCAGCTCCTTACTTTAAGTTTTCCACAGAGAAGGAGAAATCGTAGGACATTTGAATCACACATCCTAGGAAAAAGTATTTCTGATTATATGAATAACAAAAGACAAAACAGGAAATCAAAAACTAATTAAAATATATATTTAATAGAGGTGTAGTACAAAATAAACTAAGATTTCTTTTCAAATAATCCAAATGAGTTAAAACATCGTTTCAAGTTGCAATTACTGCATTGGTTACTTCTTGTCCAAGTGAAAAAATTCTTTACATCTAAAAAATTAGTGGTCATGTATAAGCCTTACTTTCATTCCATGTTCCTCGCATTTCATCTGGAAACTGGGGAAAATTACTGAAAGAGATGTCATAGTACCTTTTGGAGAAAGGAAAATAGGTGCGGCACGACTTCTTTAACTTTAGTAGCATTATTAGAGCACTTATCCGCTGTGCTCCAAACACCCTCAACAACTGAAAAATATCCAAAAGCTGCAACCAAACCAAATTTCGAAATCCCACTACAGATATACAATATATGACATAACTAACCGGACAAAAGCAATGGCCATATTATGGACGTGTAGTTGGAGTGGGTTAATGTCAGATGAGCTTAGTTACGTACGCGAGATGAATATGGTCGTTTAGACATATAATACAGTACAAAGCGACGCCTCCTAGAAAAATTGCAGTAAACACGCGTTAGTTGGGTTTAGTTAAACTTATGACGAACTAAGTGTAAAAGTAATAAACAAATGTTCGCAAACTAAGAGAATAACTAATGATGGCAGAGACAGCTTAGTGATATATAATGATTTGGAATAACCTCTGAATATAATTATATGAAGAGAGAATTCGGTGTGGATTCCAATCACTACGATTTATCCTTGCACTTGTATACCGGAAATCTCTCATTTATTAAAAGTTATGTGATTAAGCAGTTATTTGATTTTTAGTCGCAGAAAAATCCCCATCATATTAAAACAGGTATATGAACGAAGAACATGCTTTCCAGGAAATTTTTTTCAGGTCCTACAATTATATATCCAAATTAACAATCCGAAATATGTCCAGGTTTAAGGGAAAATATTTCGCTTAAGCATTATAGCATGTGGATTTAAAATTTCAAAATAAAATAGCATTAGGATGGTTAATATGAAGTGTTGCCTTGAATAAGTTTGTACATTAGGTGAAATTGTGAGACTAATGATCAGAAGAAATATGGTTAACATGAGGTAAGAGAGATAATACAATCATAAAACACGTAATATGTAGAATAATATGAATTAAGTGCAGATTAGCAAGTAGAGGATGCTAAATAAATTTATTAAAGCGTCTGCGTGCTATGAGAATAATAATAATAGGATGTGTGATTAAGATAAGTTCAGGCTATGAAAATGCAAAGAGTAAGGTTGTATGAACATTAATCGAAATACGTCATCATATCAAAATGATTATTAACTAATCAGTCCAGAAGTTGGATAAGGTGAAAGGAGCTGTTGAACATATTTTTTATGGACGCAAAGCTCTGGCTTTTTTATTCGAATAGCTATTGCTTTAGCTGACTGAAGGGTTTTTAGTCTGACAGGCTTGAGAAGGCTGCTGTTCGCACGATATATTACTGTAAATGATTGATCCATGTTGGTTGAATGCATGGCCTATTTGTACTGAACGTAATGAGCTAAAATAGAGCGCTAACAGTTTTAACTGTACCTTTGCTCAACCACACTTGGATTTTCTTGCAAGCACTAAAATAGAAGTTCCTTAAACATCTGCAAATATAACTTGCTACACAAGAGCAGTTGAACTGATGGACGCATAAAGTAGCTGGTCTAGGTAATTTATCTTTCAATTTCGGAGTGACAATTGGATGTATGAAAAACGTTAATTGTACTCTACATGCATTGAAGGTTCTTTGGATTACATTTTGCAACTTTAGTATAAGGATTTCACTGTTTTTCATCTCATAAATAAACACACTAACAGTTGTGTATTTGGTTTCTTTTAAAAATGAGGTAACATGAAACAACTGGCTTTCAAAATATATTCTGAAGCACGTGAATTTCGACAAACATGAACTTGGAGACAACCATATTTATGTCGAAAATGGCTTATCTTACTGTGGTTACGAAAACCGGTCATCGGCGAAATGCACAAGAAACATCGGTAATTAGCCATACGTATTTTCGAAATATACGGCTAGGTCTTTATGGAATATTTCGGGTGTATATAGGGACAACTAAAGTATTAGTGAGTTGGTATAGTCTCCTTCCACCTGAAGCATATTTCAAAAGCTGGTTGCTTCTGTACAAACTCTTAAATGCAGTTTGAGCAGCCCAATCTCCCAAGTTTCGGGAAATTTTGAGGATAAATCGACTAGCCGATTGCCTCACCATACACGCAGATAAAAGCTGATAATGATTTCTCTGTCATGAAGTGCTGCACGAAGGCAAATATAAATGTTGCCATTAAGACAAGTTAATATTAGATTTAAAATCTACCGACAAAATTTGAATAGTGTGATGTTTGCGTACATATGAAACTAAAAAGCATTCGGTAGGTCCAGAAATGATCATTTTTGGACTGAGATTATTATATGTTAATATATTACGCAGCTTTGTTTTCACTAACAATATGAAGATGCACAACCTAAGCTGCAAATAAGTGGAAATATGGACTAACAAAGGGGAAATAAAACATAAATAAGTGTGACTAAGAAGGAAATGTTGGCTTTCAACATCCAAGTCGATTATTTATGGGAAATGTCTATTTTTCCTCCTTAGGAAATTAGTAGACAAATAAACGTAACATACAGTGTTTGAATATGTCGCCTTTTGTACTTCTATTTTCATAAAGGTATACAAAATAACATACTTGAAGACTATGATCATTAACACATGTGAGAAAATGCAAACACATGAATTTTCCTCAGGTGCTTATATCTTCACTTTGTTGTTTGTTTAACTAAAGTGTTCCTAAGTGCTTGATGGCCATCACGAAGAGCTTGTGAGTGCAAGTGTGTGGCCTACTCTCTATTATTTATGTTCACTATCACTAGTTAACTTGGCTGTCTTGTAAGCTGCATTAATTTAAAGTCAGTGAGAGCGCTCGTAGACGTAGGGCAACTGTGAACTTGTCATGCGGCCTTGGCTGTCATAGATCCCCTTATGACGGACGGTGGAATAAAATACGAACAGATTTCATGATAAAACATAACTTGCCTTCATTTAGCAAATTTGCTCATGAAAGCACGATCAAAGGCGATTGACTTTAACAGTTATTTACGTTGAATTGATAGCTGTGAACACAGATATTGATTGTTATGTGATTCCACTAACTGTAACAGCATCCAGTAGCTACAGCAATGATAATCTTCTGAATGATAATGGTACATGTAGGAAGTGAATTCCTTAATATATTTCTTTCAGGATATCAAGACGTTAATTTTTGTTCTCAGGAGTCCGTAAATCGTAAAGAATTTAATGATAAAAACCTGTCTGAGCATCGGAGATGCTGTTTGGATTCTAAAAGACTTCCGAGATCTTGTTCCGGACTTATCGAGCAGCATCAGAAGTGACCTAAGGACGTGCAAAAGTGTCCAACTGAAGTTCATCATCTGTGAGGCTTACTAGCATGTCGGATTGAAAACCAATCTGCTAAGATATATTGAACTTTGATTGTGTAATTGTGATTTTGAGACTTTAGATTTGTATGTTTATATAGATGGACTTTCTATTTCAAGCAACTCTAGTCAATTTTTATGGCATGACTTGTTCTTTAACGACTCTATAGCATAATAACAGAACCAGTGATGATTGTAATGTGCAGCCCGACCAGGTAGTTGTAAATACCCTGGGAGCACTCTCGTTGAGAGGCAAATAATCAACGAATAGAGTACAGCCTGAGGTTTTATTTTGGGCCGGAGGGGTGAATCAGAAAATTTAAAAACGAAAATAGTAGTAGAAAATGTGATCTGTCAACTTAATGAGCACATTGAATCTATTTACATTTAATAGCAAAAGAGACGAAAATCAGAAACAAATTAGACGACTGAAAATGCAAGATATTCGATGTCCAACATCTTTGTGACTAACTAGTAGAATGTGCACACTGTCTGTTTTGCTGTGTTATGTCTTTAGCTTCTGGGTGTTACCCTTTATTTAGTGTTGGAGCTAAACTTAAGTAGGTGTCTAAGTTGATGTCCAGATGTGTTAAGGATGCTGCGAGCTATAAGAAGGTCACCTCTAAGACGCCCGCGCTCTAATAGCTAAACGTTTGGTGATTGAAGGCGCTCTTCATAAGGCTTAAATTTAAGTTCCTGAATTGATTTTGTCACTCGCCGTTGGATAAGTTCCAGAGTGTCCTTATCCTCCTGGAGTGATGGAGGAAATACTGTGTTTCCGTACTCTAAATGGAGAAGAATGAAACTGTTGAAGGTGATGTGGAAAGTTCTTCTGTCAAACTGGCCGGAAATGCACTTCAGTTTATCCACTGCAAGGTTTGCTCGAAAGGCATTTTTGTCACAGTTAGAGTAAGAATTCAAATCGTAGGTTACCAACTTGAGATACTTCTAGAGAGAAGTTTCCTAAGTTGTAACTGTAGTCCGAAACATGTATCAGACGGATTACTTTACACTTTGAAGTGTTAAAGGTAAGTTTGTTGTCATCTGCCCAACTTTGACGTTTAGTCAGATCCTTCTGCAGTGCTATTATATCCTCTCGGTTGCATGTCTCTCTCCAGTGTTTCACAAGATCGGCAAAATGTAATAAATATGACAATACCTTTTGCGGAAGATCGTTTAAATAAATCAAGAAGAGAAGAGGTCCCACGACTGAACCCTCGTGGACCCCACTAGGACATTCCATAGTCTGACCTGACCTTAATATACCGATTTCTTAGATGCGAAGTGAGCTAATCAATTAAGGGTGATTTGATACCTAATCATCCGAGCTTATTAATAAGACATATGCAACTGACCCTATCAAACGATTTTGAGAAGTCGAGGCATATGACGTCAACCTTTTCCTTGCTATCAAAGAAGGTTGTCCATCTGTTTGCTTTTATCAGCAGGTTGTTTATGCAAGCATGACCTTCTCTGAAATCATGCTGTTGGCATGAAAATGTTTATTGATAGGAGGTGGTCACGCAGGCCATCATACATCGAGACCCTTCAGCCCGTGCGAACACGCTTTACATTTGATATGAGACGTCTGACGTTACGGGTGATTCTGAACTCAAGATTGCCGTGACTTGATGAAACACATCGTCCTAGCGATTGTTGTGCCGTGACGCACCCTTTTCCGAAGTTGAAGAATATTTTATCGGCCGGTATCTTCTAGTCGGAGCTTTATTTCTAGACAATACATGTCCTTATGAGATTCAACGATCAGCATCCACGTATTCTACAATCGTGTTGAGCTTCATGTTGTCGACTTTGTCAATCTGCTTTCGCACTATGTCATCATCCAGCTTTTCTCATAGCTACAATTGTGCGAAGATATTTCATACACAATTCGGTTTATCATTTTGAAGATAGCAAGCGCAAAGATTTTAGCAGAACGGCATGGATTCATTTTATTTCGTTTGGTTCTCGTCACCTGCATACAACCTGCGATATTTAAAAGTCAGAACCACAAAAATGGTTTAAATTCCCTACATGGAAATTTTTGGTTGGAAATTATTTTGAAAACGCATAGGTATAATGTTTCAGGATGTAAATAAATTAAATAAAATGAGCAAAATGTCGTAAATACATGCCTTATATAAAAGAAATTTCTACTACATTGACTGCAAAAAGTGTCTGAATATGCCACAAGTATTCGGAATTTGACAACAATTTAACCAGTAACACCTTCTAATATGAAGCGCGCCCAACAAGTGAAATCAAAAGACAGAAGCGAGGAGATCGAAGATATATTTGATAAGCTATCAATATATCGAGGATCGTTTGTACTAATCTGGCTAGCGATTGCGGCAGACGTTGAGCACGGCGTTACCACACGTGAATTGGTGCGGATGCTTGACCGAGAGCCTTCAGCTAGATGAGTCCACTAAAACTGTGGTCAGCACCCAATGTCGAAAACTTACAGAGCTATTTAATTTTGGGGAATTATTTACCACTACAGATCAATCCCCCCCTAGTGGGGTAATGATGACCCTAAGACGTAGTCAGCCAGAAGTTTAAACTAAATGAGATTTTCGTTGGTAAACACTCTTCTGATAGCTTGCTAGGTTTAGCAGCGTCTGGTCGTCTTTCCTTACTATAATATACCATGATGTACAATATAGTAAAAAAAGGTACAATGCAGATTTTCGTTTCTTGCAACTTCATCGTTCTTTTCATCGTCTTTTCCAGTCGTTCTGGAAAAGAAAAGAAAAATATGAAGTGCATGTCGGAATACACTCGTACGCGCGTGATAACGCAAAACGTGCAAAGAAAAAGAAAACAAACTCATGCTCACGTAATAGCGTAAAAAAGGGATTTTTATAATATTGTTTTTTTGTTTTGTTTTCTTTGTTGAAATAAAAAAATAGAAAAATATAAGCATGTTAAATTGGTTTTTTTAAAAATTATATATTGTTAAAGGAAAAATCGAGGTGATATAAAATGTAAAATAGTATCTTTCGTGCAGTAACCGTTCAAATGTTTTGGAAATCTTACTCTTCTTCCAGAACGCGTTGTTTTGAGTTTATTTTCGGATACCGCCGAAGTATCAACGTGTGTGTCTGCTGTCGATTGAGGTATTATTAGGGGCAGGAGTTGTGTTGTGAGATTGTATTGAAGGAAAATCGACGTGAATAGGATTTCCTTCTAAATACGCTGCTTTGAGGCGATCGATGCTTTCGTTGGTTCCGTTCTTATCGATTATATATTACTTAGATTCGCGTTGAAGAACTTTGAAAAGTCTGTCAAATGTTGATTCGAGAGGCCGTCGATGCGAGTCTCGACGTACGAAGACGTGTGTACTATATCGTAAGTCAGGTTGAACGAAAACATCAGTTGATTGTGGTCGAGTGGAAACAGATCTAACTGAACGCATTGCGTTTGTAAGCCCGTTCGCGTACGAGGTTATATCCATGTCCATCGAAGAGGATGAAGGATCCACGAATTCTCCTGGAAGTCGAAGCGTCGTATCATAAACGAGTAGAGACGCAGTGAGTCCAATGTCAGTTTTCACTGCATTGCGAATACGTAGTAAGACGAGTGGGAGAGCGTCAGTCCACTGAGAAATGTTTGTGGCTGATAGGGACGCTTTTAGTTGTCTGTGAAAACGCTCTACTAACCCGTTTGCTTGTGGATGGTAGGCCGTCGTTCGAAAGCGAGTGATCCCTAGTTTCATGGTCAGACGACGGAACAGTTCAAATTCAAACTGACGTCCACGATCTGTGGTGATGGTTGTTGGGCAGCCGAAGTTTGCTACCCATCGTTCGACGAAGGCGTGGGCCACTGTTTCAGCAGTGATGTCTTTGATGGGTACTACTTCTGGCCATCGAGTAAAACGGTCTACGCATGTTAAAAGATAAGAATGTCCATTTGAATCTGGTAAAGGTCCTACTAAATCCAAATGAACATGGTTGAAGCGTGCATTGGGAGTATTAAACGAGCCTAGATGACATTAGTTGTGTCTAATAACCTTAGATTTCTGGCAGCTTACACAGGAGCGTGCCCACTCCCTCACGTCTTAATTCATACCAGGCCAGCGAAAACGTTCTGCTATAAGCTTGATGGTTGCACGAACACCTGGATGAGAAAGTCTGTGCAACGTATTGAAGACGTTGCGTCGATATTGTTTCGGCACGATTGGGCGATCCCTACCTGTAGATGTGTCGCAAAGTAAGGTTTCCTTACCTG